CCATCTAGCGGGTCTAACGGCAGAGGGACAGGGAATCACAGGGCTGGCAGCCCCGGTCACTTCTGCAGACGCAAAACCCCTTGCGCTCCCTAACAATTCCGCAGGTTAAGCGCCTCATGCAAAACGCCGCAGCGACCCCGCAGCCACCCCTCCTCTCCCCTAACTACTCTCACTCAGTTAAGAGCCCACAGCGCTTGCTGAAGGGAGGGCAATATAACTAACGCTGAAGGGGCGGGGGGGAGAAAAGAAAAAAAGGAGCAGCAGTACCACCAGAAGCAGGTTTCACAAAAACTGAAGCTTCTAGTCTATCAGATTAAAGTCCTGCTAACTTGAAATGAAGATTTTAATCTTTTCACCAGCCTTTAGGAAATGACACGCATAGGTCATCTTAACCTTTATTGTAAGGGACTGAACCAACACCAACACCCCCCCCCCCCCCCAAACTTTCCAACTTGTTCACCTAGGAAACACCAGTATTTTCCACGTATTGAAACTTCCCTGCCAAGTAACGGACAAAATTCATTATGCTGTAGTGTAGAAGTCTTACCATATATTCGAGCAGCAGTGGCTTGTAAACTTTGTAGTAATTCCTTGTTCGAACGAGAAGCAGCAGAATGAATGATATCAATCAGCTGATTTGAAAGCTCAGGGTTTCTCAAGCCAAGTAGAGCGAGCTGCTGAGGTAAGCCAGCCAACCAGCGAGATAACACTTTACTTCGACTTCTAAAGAAAGAGGGAAAATTAGTTTGGGGGGGAGGAAGGGTGGAACGAAACAACGAAAAACCCGCAAACTTACTCTTTCCAGTCTTGACTAAGTTGCTTTGACGTTGGGTTCGATTAAATTACAATAAACTGCGATACTGTGATTTGCTGAGAATATTTCACCAGAAGATCCGGGCACATTGGTGTGCTACTAGGGTTACATCAGAAGTATTTATTTGATCCATAGGCTTTGCACTGCACATTTTCAACTCTTTCAGAAAGTATTTGTGTGAACGGACCGTATGCTGGCAAAGCAACGGTTCCATTTATCATTAGTTTTATCAGTTTATATTTAATGAGTCATGAGCCAGGCTAAAAAGCCATGAGATTACTACACCCTGAATAATACCGAAAGCCCCCAATCAAGCTACTGCTCTTTACACTAGACTTTTAAATTCAATTACACCTTTGCTGACGTCTTGCTTGTCAATTCAGATACATCTTAAAGCAGAATGAAAAACTAGAACCGGTCACTTTAAATAGGAGTTGATAACATTGGTTTACTTCCTTTCCCTGTTCAACTGCTACAGTAAATCAAGTATTTATGTCAACCCATAATCAGGTTTCTCCCCCCTCCCCAAGATCCAAACCCCTTTTCTGTTTTTCAGGCATAGTTTCATTTCTTAACCAGGAGCGATGATTAAAAAAAAAGCAACAATATTAAAAATAAGATTTAAAACTGTAAACAAAGGTGTTCAAAACGAATTCTATATTTACTGGTTTTTTCCTGAAGAAATTAACTCGGGTGATTAGAGACTACTGTTTTCCCTTTTTTAATTTTATTATATTTCTCTTTATATTACTTATAAAGAGTAAGTACTGAATTATTGTAACGAAGATTTTCAGGTAGGTCTTTTACTAACACTTTCCAAATTCTAAAGTAAATTTTTAAAGTGCAATTTAATAGTTCATACTAATTAAAGTAAGGATTCCTGAATCCCATGTATAGTTTTACCGCTGAATTCCTATGGCACACAGGCAAATTACTTCAAACATGGCTCTCCTAAAGGTGCTACTATTAAAAGACTTTCTTAATATATCTGCTAGCTCCGTATATTCAAAACTACACCAAGAACTTTAGGGTCCGAACCAAACCCTTACTCTGTGCACAAGCCATACAGAGCTAGTACAGTCATTTATTTTCCCCTGAACATCAACACAGTTAACTACTAAGCTGCACACTCCAAATGTAGAAAACGCAATCGAAAGGAAGGATAAGGTTAACCGGGAGAATAATTTAGTTGAATTTGCAGGATTAGCAATTAGAAAAGGAAACCTGACATTAAAAAAAAAAATCAAGAATGAAGAAATGTCAAGAGAGAAACTTTCTACTGTGACGTTTTAAAGCAGAACCGCACATCAAGCTCTCTACTTCAAAACGTAACGGTTGAGCCCTTCAAGGTTAGCTTTCGCAGTACAGCTCCACTAAACCACCAATTTGCTCCTGCCTAAGCCAGACACAGCATTATGGGTATGGCCTCACCAGTACCGACCAAAGACAGATATAAATTTTAGTCAATCTGCTGGCCACGTTCCTCCTAATGTAACCCACAGCTGTTTGCCTTACACTCATGGTGGGAACGCACTGTTAACTTGTATTCAGCTTGGCATATACTGTAACCCCCAGTCTTTTTTTTTTTTTTACTATTGCTACTGCTCAGCAAGCAAAGATTTAAGAAAGTGTACTGTGTCAAACACTCTGCCCTTGTCCGTGCAACCAGTCATTCATAAAAGAAGGTTATCGTGCTGGTAAAGCACAATTTGCTCTTATATACATCCCAACTTGTTCCTGATTACCTGCTTGCCCCTTGACGAGTTCAGAAATTAATTCCGAGCCAAGACGCTGCATGATCTTTCCAGGGACTGAGCTGAGGCTCATGAGCCTGAAATTCCCCAGCTTCTCTTCAAGATAGGTTCATAACAGTCTTTTTCCAGTCACACAGAACCTCCCGCATTCACCATGGTTTTTCATGGATGACAAACAGCGGCCTCACTTTCACACGAGACAACTTTTTCAGCCTTCCCGCCTACCTGTCTGGGCCACAGATTTCACTACATTCAGCTGATCACATTCTTCACCTGCTAAATTTAAAGAGGCTTTTCTTTACGTAAGATCTTATTTGTCCTGCTGGAACGTCTAGCTTTCTATTGACTTTCTCCAGAGCCTCAGGCAAGCACAACTGAGGTGTTTTGGTGAATTTAAACATCAGTGGAAGGAATCCATAGCTTAGGTTGCCCCTACAGCTCTTACAATTTGGGCCTTCTTGGACAAAAGTAACTACAAATAAAGTCAACTGAATGAGGTATCAAATGATCTTGTTCAAACATTATAATACTTCCATGTATCTTCTGCTACAGTTTAGTATCTTTAAAAGTGACATTTGTTTTTCTTCCACAACCTTAGTACACAGGCAGCATATGGAAGGAGAAAGATCAATCACAGGATTATTGTTTGCAACTGCCTGGTTGAATTTCACATTAAAAAAAAATCCTGTTAGTTTCTAAGCACACCAATTTTTGTTTTGTACAAATACACCTCTTCCCTCTTATACTATTCCCTCAGCTAATCCAATTCTTCTGCTTTATTTCTCGTTTCCTCTGTTCAGGTAATGCTTCTGAACTGTATGTTGCCAGAAAGTTTCTACTGGCATGCTCCTGCTTTGTGTGCCGGTCATTAATGATAGCATGAAGTTTAGCTCCAAGAGAGCTCTGAGGAACTGTATAAGCAGACTCTCTCCAGTTTTATCACTCCCACTGTCGTCACCTATGTACCGTATCCCACTGTACATATTCCTATTCTTTAAGTGAGATCTTTTATACCAAATCCAGATTGCATTACCTGCCTTTAAAGGTAATAGTCAAAGTTCTTACTATCTGCATTTTCACATACCAGTTCTCTCAAGTCTCCGGAATAAAATTTACCTAATCCTCCTCCTCTTTTGCATTCATTTGACAGCATTCAACTCAATTTTATTTACAGCACCGTTGCTTCCATATCTAAGGACTCTGACCATCCCTTGTGTTTGACACAAATTCTAATAACCTTTATTGAAAAATATGACAAGATATTATTAATATTGAAGGACAACCTGAATATATCCTAATTTCAGACCCACTTCTTCCCTTATCCTATAGCGTGATGGTTAAGAAGCTTTTGCTATTTTCACATCCTATGAGAAAAATAATTCAGCCTGACATTTAGGAATTGCTATTTCTAACCTGCTTGTCAGAAAAATAGGAATGAAACCAGTTTGCTTATCAATGCCTTTTTTTTCATTCTCTGTAAGTGCTGTTTATCATAAACACCCCCAAAAAGCTGGTCAGGAAACAGAAAAAAAAAAAACTTGACAAGCTCTTCCCTAGCCTAAGACAAATTTTCATTTGTATTTATGACTTGATTCTCCAGACCTCCTTCCCCATTCTAATCAATTGGCCTGTTCACACATCAGGAAACTTCACCAATTAGGTTTTTTCTTTCCTTTAAACGTCTTTGGCACTGAGCTTTAAAACTCGACAACCTCCATTGTAGATCTGCTTTTATTTATCCTTTCTAGCTCAAACTGAAACAATCTTATAGACCAATCCTGTCTTTCGTGGGCTACAATTTCTATGACACCCTGGTTTATCAAATCAAGTATCATTTATAAACCAAAATCATTTCATCACCTTACTACTAAAGTGATGATTACATGAAAGAAGCTGCCAAGTGTAAATCAAGATGTTCAAAGTAGGTCTTTGAAAGTGTCAACAAGAGTAGCATAATGATGACAATTATTTCATTTTCCAAAGACCTGACAAAATCCCTCACCAAAAACCTTAAGGAAACTAAGTATCCATGACATAAGAGGGGAGGGTCTTGCATAGACAGATTGTGTTTAATGGTAGGAAAAGCCTGGAGAAGAGACAACTGAAGTGGGTGAGTCGGAGGTAGGCTCAACAGAGGTCTCAAATCACTTGACACAAAAATGGTGGATGGGAATAAAATGTTTGCTTTCTCTTCCCACAGAAGAAGTGGGTGCTGGTATCAAATGCAGCTAGAAGGAGCAAGGATCAAAACAAACAAAAGAAAGTTGGTCTTCAGACAGCTGAGCTTTGTGACTCCTTGCCACGGGATGCTGCAGTTGCTCTTGATTTAGACCGGTCCAAGGAATGACCGGAAAAGCTCATGGAAGAGAAATCCACTGAGTGATACTAAGACACAGAAGTTCTGCGCAGTGAGGAAGCACAGGCTTCAAACGGTTGGAAGCTTAGAGTACTATGGAAAAGTAATTCTTGCCTTCTTCCTATAGCATCTCACATAGGTCGGTGTTGAAGGCAGGCTGTGAGGCGATATATAGCCTTTGAAGTCTCTACCAATATACATATGTATATGTTTGTGTGTATACACACACACACTGTATATGCATATATATTCACGACTACACTTATGTGTGTAGCGATAAGGGGTGAAGATAACTAACATCAAGACCAAAATATTAATTCTGAACCTTGTAATAAGTCAATCAAGTAATAAGTCAATCAAGTTTTCTTTCACAGGGCAACACAGGCCAAAAGCTCCTACCTAGTCTTTGAATCAGATACACCTAAAAATAAACAGCGCCCTTGGAAAATGTTCCAACATTAATTCTGCTTCTCTTAGACTGCTCTTGACAAGCTTCCGAGAAAAAAAAAACCACCCAAAAAGCCCCCAAAACCTGAGGAGAGCAGTCACAGGAGGGCTGAAGGAAGCATGACGTCAAACTGAATGGAATAACATGAATGCCATCCAGGATCTACTATGCAGTCTGCATCTTTAAGAAATGAAAAAACCCACTTGTTTCTAAAGGAAAGAAATGGATCAGTACAGTACACAAACATTATGTTGTCTTAAAATGTCTTGTCACACATTAAGTGCAATTATCCAATTATCCTCTTTGCAAAGAATTTTTGAGATTTCATTCTTCTGTTACTAAAAATATCACAATTCCATGTAGAAGACTAAGAGGAACAGCAGGAAAACTACTGCTATTTGAGATGTCTAAAGATAGAAAGTTAAAGCTTTCTAGATAGTTAGATGATCACATGAAACGGGATGAGATGCTCAAGACTTCCAGGTAAGTACAGAAAACGGTGGTTACATAACCTCTGGGAAATTAGTCGATACGAAAAAGATCTCTTTATTGCTCCGGGTGAAGAGAGGAAGAAAATGGGATATTCCCTAGCCTTTTTCCTGTCTTTCAAATTCCGTATACTTTTTATAATGTTCATAAGGTAGTGTTAGATATTTCTGGCTGTAGATCTAATTACATGTACTCAGGCATTACCACAGTGTAAGATTTAACAAAGCAAAAGAGTTGCAGAAGAGAACAATTTTCCCAAAGCTTGACTCTGCTAGTGGATATCAGCACTTCTGGGGGCCCTGGTTTGATTTTTACCTAGTAGCAGAAACAAGTGTCACGAGTATGATCTTTATGTCCCTTCACAGATTCTCAAACGAGGTAGGATTAATGCAGCCTGATCTGTGTTTAAGGATTTTACGTAGCTGGAACCAGATGACTTGACTGAAAAATACCTTCTGGAAAAGTCAAGACTTGGAGACAATTTGGACAAATCTTGCAATGAAAAAGTGTAATAACAGCAATATAGAGAATAATCTCCTCTTACTTCAAAAAAGTCAGATATCTAATAGGTGCATGAAACTGGGAACCCAAAAGTACAGGAACATTTTCTTAAACCTAGTCTCTGTAGAACCACACACCCAAAACAATAGAAGAATACTTTTCTTAAAGAAAATAAGTACAGAAGGCTAGACATGCACTACCAGAAACACCAAAGGCACTAAGTCACAAGTCCATGACGTCAGGCTGCAGTAATGGAAATGCTCCATGGCTACAGCTGCACAATCTTGACACATCTACTGACTACCACACAGTCAGTAACAATGAGCTTACAGCAATGTACTTAAAGTTAAATTTTAAATCATTAAGATCTATCTAGTACTTACGTTAAGAAAAAAAGACAACTAAGCTAATACACATCTCAATCTCACAACTCACAGAGAACAAACTTTCAAATTTCAGTGACACAGCGCCAAAACAGATTCAGAATGAAGTTTTAGAACATCTATGTAGAAATTCAGTATTCTAACTTTTGAAATAAATATACTATGCTGAAATGAGAAAGAATACATAAATGGTTTTTACCTGATTCTTTGAGTCCTCAAATCTTCTTTTTGGTAAACTCTGCTAAAAAATTTCAGAAGCAATGTACGAACAGGAAAGAGGAGATTCCTTTGCTGGTACAGTGTATATACTGCTTTTATCAAGGGTTCTGTTGCCACTAGAAAGAAAACATATAAAAACCTGAAGTAGTTCTTCTTAATATTCTGATTTTATACATACATACACACATACACAGAAGAGCTATAATCTGTATATGCAACTGTCTACATTTAACTGCACAGGGAAGTACCAAAAAGTTTTAAAACAACTACTGGATAGACTGCTAAGCCATTGAAACAACACCTTCTTGTGTAGCTTGTGAAAGAGCCACACAAACGAATAGAGACCACATGTAAGTGAAAACTTCAGACCTTCTGGAAGACAAGACAGTGCACAGGTTGCGACGTAGCTGAGAACCAATAAAGTCCTGCTTTCCACTGCTATGTTCCACACCCTTTTCCACTAGTGCAGTAACCTCACACTGATCTCTTTTACTCCTCACCTATGCTCACCCAAACCTGTCACAGTGCCTTCAGTTCTCTCTATACTATCCCTTTCTTCCTGCCACACACCCCCCCACCAGCCTTATCAGCTCTCCATGTCTTTGAACCAGCTGGCTCCAAACCACATTTGCTGGTTAACCAGAAAATACATACCTTGAGAGTCCACTGGCAAGCCGCTACAAAGAGAACTGCTAAACTTACACTGCAACCTTTTCTTCTCTGAAGCTCTCCTCAGCTATATGTTATCACCAGACTTAAAACAATGTATGAAAGTTCTACCTTTCTGTCAAAGTTGGCTAAAACCAGCCAGCAAGCACAGAAGTTATTATAGTAGACTGGTATAGTAGTTATATATAGTAAAATATATATACACCAAACTATAATATATATAATATATATATGGTATATATGTGGTATATGTATGGTGTGTGTATATATATAGTTTGGTGTGCGCGTGTACATATATTATAGTTTGGTAATAGACCAAACATTTTCTTTGGAAACCAGATTAAACCACTGGATGTAAAAATTAACAAAGCGTGAAAAAATCATACAAATATCTTAATTCAGAGAAGCCAAACCTGGAAAGAATGGGGAAGCATCTGAAAAGTTAAGAGATATATGAAGGGTATGAGACCTGACTCAATTTGCCTCAGAAGAGCTTGGGGTCCCAATGAATTCTTTTCCATCAAGATAAACTTAAGTAGCAGCAATCACTTCATTATCTTCAAAAACCAAGACTGGGAAACCTTTGCCTTTCCATTCAGGTGTACAGAGCAGTCTTAGTAAGTTATGTATTCAAAAACAGATACAATTTTGTGTTCCACACTGAACAGAGCTGCTTCTGCCCACAGAGACAAGAATGCTCCATACAAAAAATTATTCCGGATCCAGTCAGGGGCTGGTCTTCATCAGTAAAACTCTTATCAGGGAACATATTTAAGTTATCATATAGGGATTCTCTCTAAAAGACACACTATAAAAAGCACCTGAAATGGCAGGCTGTGATGGATGCACTTGACCCCTTAACCAAACTAGTGGTAGTTTGGTACAGGCTCCAAAGGAAGTAAAGGCCTAAGCCATTAACGGGCCAAGAACTCCTCTGGTTTCAATCTGTTCTCTGAAAACCCACAAAGGAGCAGAGTGACAGCGTGAGCATCGATGCGTATGAGCTTGGAACACCGATCATGCGATTAACACATGAATAGCGGGTGGCTTTTCCAAGACTCATTTATCAGGGAACAAAGAAAGTTGTGGGTACAAGGAGTCTCATGCATACCTTTCCCATCGCATGGAATTTGACCACAAGCCAACCACTTTACTCCATAAATATGACAGCCTAAGTGAGCCCTCCTTGAGCTCTCCCTGCTAGGCAGCGTGGCTGCATGGCAGTGATCTCCCCTTGAGCTAGGATGCCTCTCAAGGTTGTTCCTCGAGGCAGAGACCTTTTACCAACGGCAGATCTTTGGTAAGCGACCGATATCATGCATAACCTTGTAGTATGGTAACTTTTGTTTGTGCCTTGTTAACTTTGAATCATCGTTCAAATGATTGTGCCGTACAGTAATAGAATGAACCTTGCCATCAAACTTCGTTAAGACGCACTTTTACAACACCATATTAAAACTACTTTCGCCAACAGCTTTAAAGGTGATTCTTTAAGCAATCTAAATCACCCATTTGTGACACATGGTCATACACAAGCATAACGCAGGGAGACATTTAGAAGCTGAAATCTAAGATATTTGTCAACAGAAAAATACATCAAATATTAGAATGGATTTTAGTTAAGATAAATTATTAAGTTCTTCTCATTGCATCAGGACCATCAACTTATTCAATTCACATACTCTTCAGGTGAGGATTCATCTTGAACAGTGTTTCTTAAACAGAACACTTGCTTATTCTTAATTGAATAACAATTATACCTTTATGTAGTTTTTAGCTAATTAATGAACTGTTAACTGAACAAATATAATAGGAAATAAATACTCTAAGTGTGTAGAATGTTCAGCCATCTTCCAATACCTCTCTGTGGCACGTTTAGTAAAGCAGGTCCTACTATTTCAATTGCTTCATATGAACAGGACAAGTTTAAGAACAGAAGCAATTTAAAAATGTATTCTTAAAAAGTAGTACTTAAAATGTCCACATTATACAGACTTCCAAAATGCAGCCAAACTTGTCATGATTTTTAACTTATTTCAGTTTTAATTGGCACATGGCAAGGCTCCTTCTCAAGTGACTGAATGTGCTCTCTTCATTACTTGAAGAAAATCTTTCAAAGATACAACTAGCAGGCAAGCTGCTGCTAAAGTCATACCTGAGAGACGCAAGAAAGGAGCAGACCTCCTAATTACAGAGAGCAGATCCAGAGTTTGATCTTAAACAACGGAGAAAAATCTTCAGACATCACAGCGTGAAGCTCTACTAGACATCCACAAAAAGGGTGCACTTCATCCCAGCATAAATAGCTACTCAAAATAGGCAACCCTGAAAAATATCACTGCAAAGATACCACCATGCTTTTGTGGCATAGTGTGCAGGAGGTTGACTATGGTCTTGTTCAATCTCTCATTCATTAGTTCTTTGTTTTTTCTATCTAAACTTCCCCTCTTTTGATTTCCATTGTGTTCTAAAAAAATTCTGATTATAATGGTTCATTTTTTTCTTTTGCCTTGTCTTCTAAAGAAGACATACCCTTCCAGGCCCTTAATCTCAAGGTCAGATAGGTTTTAAACAAATCAGAGTTATATTTTTGGTATGTACCATCTTTTGCAGTATCATCTGACACAATAAAGTTCAGAATTTCTAAAGCACCATCAAAAAAATAATATCAAGGAAGGAAGCTTTTCTTCTTCCACAGAATCACTTAGCGGTTGAGGTGGGAAGGGACCTCTGGAGGTTATCTGGTCCAACACCCCTGCTGAAGCAGGATCAGCTAGATCTGGCTGTCCAGGACCATGTCCAGACAGCTTCTGATTCAGCTTCTCCAAGGGTGGAGACTCCACAACCTCTCTGGGCAACCTGTGCCAGTGCTCAGTCACCCCAACAGTGAAAAAGGGTGCTCCTGATGTTCAGACAGCATCTCCTGTGTTTCAGTGTGTGCCCATTGTCTCTTGTGTTGTCACTGGACACCACTGAAAAGAGCCTGACTATCTTCTTTACACCCTCCCTTCATATTTATACATGCTGATGAGATCCCCCCTGATCCTCCTCTTCTCCAGCCTGAACAGTCCCAGCTCTCTCAGCCTTTCCTCATAGGAGAGATGCTCCAGTGCATTCATCATCTTCACGGCCCTTCACTAGACTCTCTCCAGCATGTCCCTGTCTCACTTGTATTAGGGAGCCCAAAACTGGACACAGTACTCCAGGTGTGGCCTCATCAGTGCAGAATAGAGGGGAAAGATCACCTCCCTCAACCTGCTGTCAACACTCCTCCTAACGCACCCCAGGACACCACTAGCCTTCTTTGCCACAAGGGCCCATTGCTGGCTCACGTTCAACTTCGTGTCCACCAGGACGCCCTGGTCATTTTCTGTCAAGCTGCTTTCCAGCTGGTCAGCCTCCAGCACATACAGATGCATGGGGTTATTCCTCCCCAGGTGCAGGAATTTGCACTTCTCCTTGTTGAACCATCAGCCCATTTCTCCAGCATGTCGAGGCTGTATTTCCTCTACAGCTCGTAAATGAATTTTAATCTGACATGTAGTCAGGCTTTTAGTACTGCAAAAGGATTATCTTGAAGGGATGAGATAAACTGTCAACACAAACAGATACAGATTCGTGAGGTAAAGAATTTCCTACTTGCAGTGAAATTCCTGAACCTTTACAGGATCAGCAGACAAGATCCATACATATTAATCTTTTGGAATTTCATTTAAGTTTTTTTTAAGCTTATTAATTTTCTGCATTCCCGAGGAAAATTATTGGACTAAAATGGCCACTTTGGTTAGAGAAACACCAGCCATTATCCACTATCTGGTAGGTTTGGTAGACAAAGGAAAAATCAATGTTTCATTACAAGGAAAAGCGTGAAGTATCTGATTTAACAGTCTAACAATAGTTTGGAAACTACTTTCTTGAGTAGCAATTCTTCTGCTTTGGCTCAGCTAGTGAGACAGGCACATCTCTGACTGTGGACTATTATCTGCCTTCAACAGGAAGCTAGATTTGGAGTGCAGATAGGAATGATTACTTATTATCTTTGTCATCAGGGACATAAGAATAGACAGATTCCTAATTAAAATGGATTTGGAAGGAGATGCAACTGCCAAAATATATTCGAGGGACATGTGACACCTTTTCATCTTACAACACTAACAATGAAACCTGCTGCTAATGGCAAAGCATTTTCTATAAATTCTACTTGGCTGCGTGGCTGTGGAATTCACTTCTACCATACTGGTAAGACAATAGATCCCTGCCACCTTTAGACTTACTGAAAAATTCCTTTCTTTAAGAAGTCCCATATCAATCACCTAACAGACACGTCAACCAAGGTCTCATCTGGAACACAACCAAGTTCTACTTGAAAAGCAAAAAAGAAAAAAAAAAGCCAAGCCAAAACACTGTACTGGTCCTGCAAGTCACAACTGGAAATATGTTTTCTCTTGGAAAAGGATTCAAATCAAACACATTGGAAAATATTCTACAGCAGCTTCCATCAGAACTATCTTGGCATTTCATGTCATCACAGCACTAGAATGGTCATCTGACAGTACTCAAGGGAGTCTACCAGCTACATTAAGAATTTTAAATAAGGATTGGAATATTAATGTATCATGCACCTCTACATCCTAGTAATTATTTTTTCAATGAAGAAAACTCATCTTCCCATTTATAAGAATACCTTAAGAAGTAAAAACAGAAAACAGATACACAAATATATTAATACTTTGCATATCAACAGTATGAATCTAACAGCATTCCTAAAAAACAAGCAGTTTTCAATGCTACACACACGGATATGACCATGAAATTCAATTTACCTCTATAGACAAAATACATTTTCATCTAACAGCTGAGGATAGAAGATGAAGTGACCTGAAAACACCAGAATAACTCAAGCTCTTTGTCAGTGCGTAATTTTGCTTTTCAGAAACTACTCATGTCTTACCTTTGTTTTGCTGTATTTGCATTAGTCTCCAAGTCACACCAAGCAATCTGTTCACCTGCTTGCTATTCAGCTTGCTGCCGTCCTGAAGAGTATCTGTCACAAATTTCCTTATCATGTCCAGCCAACCAGAATCCATCTGAAGTGTTGAAGTGCTTGCTAGTGAAACCATTATGTCACACAAGGTTAAGTTCAGTAAAAGATGGTCTACACTGTTTGAGGATGTCATACAATACTTGTTGCTAAGGGGGAGGGCGGAAAAAAGAAGAGAGAAAGATTTCAAAATAATATTTTGTGCCTTTTAATATATGTTACTTTGGTGGAAATTATACTATGTAGAAAAAAATTCTAAATGTTAAAGTTTTAAAGCCAATATGCATTTTAAAAGTCTTTGTATTTGACATTTGGGTACTTGTAAATTTCTGTTCTGCCACCAAAATGTCTGTTTCTCATATTTATAGTGGCAGCAACAACCAAAGCTCTAAATTGTATCTCTATGGCTGGTTTCTCCTGTTTGACATTTTTACTGTGGCCTAGCAGCACTTTTAGGTGACTGAAACCAGTAAAGCAAGGATAAAAAAAAAAAAATTAATCCTTAGTTTCAGTCTCTTCTGTGAGGAATCACATGGGTCACACAACTACAAAAAGCACCATGAACAGCACAGAGAAATCCACTCATGTACTTTTTTCCAAACTCATGTGGAATCAGAAACACATTTTTCACCATCACAATATTCTGCAGGACCACCCTGTTGCCCTACAGAGGTTTGAAAGACAAAATTAAGGGATATCAAGAAAGGAATCAAGGGTATTGCAGCTTGACACATAATGCTAGAACTTCTCTACTTGCTGATTAGTCACTCACAGTATAAAAAAAAAAACAACACAGCATTTATCTAAAGAAAGCTGCACAATATGAATGCCTACATTCAGAACACAAAGTAGAGCTGTGAAAACAAAATAACAAAAAGCACTTTAATCTGCGCTAATGTAAGTGTAGTCACCCTTCAGTTCAGGGCCAACCATTACAACATGAGCAAATAAATCTCAACCTGTGGACATCACTTACACATGGCATAAATGCTAGTAACTTTTTCATGTTCAGAGTATGTAGATGCTAAGCACTATCAGTAGTACTGGGGTAAATTTCTGCAACATTTTGCAAACTGGAGAAGAAAGGAAGCCTCAAAATGCCATGCAAGGTTTCCAAATGCAGGCAGGCCTTTAACCCAATATATTGGTAAGCAAGGAAAACAAAAGCAACTATTTTTATTTTCATGGCATGAAGCTAAGTTTCCAGAAGTCTTCAAGTAACAGTCAAAATAAAAACACAAAAAAGTTTTCACAGATTACTTCTCCTGCACATGTCCAACAATATATTTATTTTAAAGTGCAAGAATGGGACAAAACATAGTAGCAGAGTGAAGAAGGATCAACAGAAGTATGGTTAGTCAGGGTGTCACCTATAAGACAAGATGGTTGCATTGCCTAACTACTAATTCTGAGATTTTCAGTTTCAAGGAAGGGTGTTCAGGTCAAAACCTGAAAAAGCAAAACACCTTTTGGCTTTATAAACTTAATGGGTAAGACTTAGTTGGAATGAAGCATTTAACGAAGAACTATGCTGTACCTCTGATCTACGTGCCCTTCCAGGAAGAGAAAATGCAGCAGTCAAATATCAAATAGGATTTCAGCCTCAAGTATACCTGCACCATGGTAGACCCTCAGCATAAAAAGAGCTGCTTCTACTACTACAGCTCAATCTGCAGTAGCACAGTTTGCAAGTATTTGAAACTGAGACAGACACCGGCTGATACCCACTGTACATACACCAGTGTTTTATATGGACTGCAATGGCACAGAGTGACTCCAGAACAGACTTTGCATGTATATAGTCTCACATCTGGGAGCTGAGAGGGGAGACAACCTGCTACTGGCCTATACCGGAACAAAATTGGTGCACCCACTCTGCCAGCTCAATAGTGAAGAAACGTGTGAGTGCTCAAGTTCTCCTGCTCCAGTACTACTTTGCCATACAGGACAGGCACAATGCATCCCATCTCCCCTCCTAGCTGTATTTATCCAGCCCTGTAATACAACTATAGAAGAGTAGATGTGGGTGAAAAAAATGTTTTAACTATGTTTTGATGTAATTCATCAGTCAACTGAAGAAAACATGCAGAAATATGAAACTAGTCAGACTCACACAAATCACCATTTAGCAATATGCAAATTCCAGATCAAGCATCCAATAAAATATTTTCATTTCTCTAAGACAGCATTTTAATTTCTACAGGAGGCTATTCAGATGGCTTCCTATACCATACTTTTACGAAAAACCAAAACTTCTCCATTCAAAGCAACGCTACCTTCCTATAAAAACTTCTCTACAGATCTTCAAAGAATACGCAATAAAAGGTTTTCTTTTCCAACATTAAAAACTTAATACTGGATACGACTCACATTGCCTCACTTCTCTTATGAAATTAAAAGCTGTAACATGACACTGATTTTATTCTTACCCTTTGCACGAATCTTTCTTTTTCTGCTTTACTGTTTCTTGTAAAGAATAAGGAAAATGACGCATGAAATGGTGCTTGAAATCAACAAGGTAATTCATTCGAAGCCATAGCTCCTGTTAAGGGAAGCAGATGACAGACAGAAAACATTGTAGTAAGTGAAATACATCAATGCAATCATCTTCCATAATCCATTATTGGAATCAATGAAAAACAGGAACTTTAGCTTCTGTTTGCAAGTTTTCACATGTATTTACTTTCAGACATAAATGTGAAGTTCTGTGCGTGAACCTGAAGGTCCACAAAACAAGGGAGTAAAATTATGATGTAAGTCAAGGTTGAGCGACAACATTTAATCCAAACTGGACCAGTGTATTTTCTTAGCACATATTAATGTGGGTATATGCAATAATAAACAAAGTGAGTTACAGATGTGAATTGAAAGTGCTTCTATATCAATTTATCACGGTACTTAAAATCAGAGTGAACTCTGATTTACTCGCAGTGACTGTCCTGAGTTTTCCATTAAGACGTATTCTGACTCTGCTTCATCTTTCCGCATCGTTAGCGTACCTGTAGTTCAAAGCCCACTGACACAAAACGTTTTCCAGTAGAAAGGCCATCCTTACAGAAAAAGGATTTTTTTTTTCAATATTTAAAAATAATTTTACTTTGTGGGTTACCAGACACTCACAGTCACCATTCCAGCAAACTGTCCAGCACAAGTCATCACAAAAAAGTCTGCACCGCTATCAAATTGGTCAGGCAGAATAACTTTTTTGATATTCAAGTATTAAGAACAGAGAATGACCATTAAACTATTTCAAAGATTAATAGGTTTCCACTAGGCATATTCATAGTGGGTTTCCAAAGTGTCTCTAATAACCACTTTGGCCCATAAGCCCAAGGGCTATTAAATAAGCAGAGCTTCCATTTTCAAACTGAGCCATTTGAATGCACATACATGTAAAGGTGACTATAATAAACAGTTGATCTTACCTAAAACACAATATGCTCAAAAAAAAAAGTTGTATGGACATCAGATTCCCCCCCCCCCCCCACCCCCCCCCCTCCCCCAAACATCCCAAGGTCATAATGCAACCGCGTGTACCTAAACCAGCTACATCTTGACACAGGAGCACTCCTTTCATGTGACCGAAATGCAAGCACCCTATGGCTAAGGGCAGCAGCTCTGCACTACCCTGAAGTAAAAGGCATGGGACAGCAGGCTGCCACAGGTATTTACCTGGCCAACAGCCTGCTTTCTGCCTGCTTCCAAGAGGCCTTCTAGAAAAGGTGAAAGGGGAACAGCACGTTTTGTTTGAACACACTGAATCCATCCCTCAGGCTGTGTATGTTGGATAACTCTGGTCTAATGGAATGATTCCACAAATGATTTCCAATAATTATTCTATACGTAGATTTTTGTTTAGCAAGTGGACCTACAGTCCTATACACAGGTAAAACAAAGAGCTGTCAAGACATTCCTTTCAACTACTCTCAATAGCCAAAATGGAAAGAGAAGAGTGTTCTTTTTCTATTTTGCAAAAATCTTTGGAAGAGCAGGAAAACTTAAAAAATAGCAATTCATTTACCAAAGTAAAAGACAAAATAATTAGGGAAAAAAAACTTCAAGGACATTTTCCAAAATTCTTATTGAGGTTTTGATCATTGCCTTACGATACTACCATTCATGACACAACAACGTAGGTTGCACCAAGCAATTACAGGATCTCATACCACCATTACCCCCTACCTTTCCAAGGGTTTAGGGTTTGTTCATTTCTACCCCCTCACTCCCGTAAAATTTTTCAACACATAAAAACAAGGAACAAACAACTCCATTCTATGCTTTGTTCAAAGTTATATTCCAGAGGTTATCTGGGAGACAAAACGCTCCTCTTCTCCAATACCACTTCCAGTTTCAAAAGCTTTTGTGCTGCAGTCTGTCAAGGATTCCTGGAGACTGTCGGTGAATTCATTGCTCAGTTCAACAGATTCTTTTCTAGAGTAAGAGACTTGACAAAATCCAAACTCAAATTCTACTCAAAACCTAGGCTTCTTCTCTCCTAATAAAATATTTCCACTACTTGCAATGACCAAATCGTTAATTTCCGATGAAAACAAAATGAACTGTCATTATTATGCCACAGATCACTTCTCCCTTACCATTTTGTATGTTTCATCATGTCGCTTTGTGAGTTTCCACAACAAATGTATTATACTAAGCACTTGCTGCATAAGCTGCTGAGATTCTGATTCCAAAAGGTTTCCAAGAATGGGAGCTGATTGTGCAGGAGATGCTTCAATCCAGCACTCAATCAGTAATGGAATTATTATCTCAATAAAACCTTTTAAGTTTTCAGCCGAGGACAGGCCTTTTTCTGCACTGTCCATTACACTTGCCAGAGACCTAAACGACAAAAGCAAAAAAAAAAAGAAAAAGAAAAAAGATAAAGATCAAACTTTTAAAAACAGATTAGAGCAATACCACTTTCCTGCTTTCTGAATAACAGGAAAAATTACTTTTTTAATACATTAAATATTTGCTTGCTTTCTTGCTAGATATTTCAGCAAGGAAAAAAGGGAGTTCAAACCATCTACAACAAACCTGCTCCCGAGTCTCCCTGCAAGTTTGTGTGCTTCTGTAACAACTTCTTAGATTTCAGTATTTCTTTCCCCATTGTTATATGTAAAGTCTATAAAGTGGAGAAATACGATTTGCATTATCATATCACCTTCGACCAACAGATAAGAATTCACTGTACTCGGCATAACAAAATAAAAAAGCTTTAAGTTTTAAGCTCCTTGAAGCAAAATAATGAAACTGACTACAAAGTATTGTCAAATGCATGAGTTTTATTACAGTTAATAACCTTCTCCAGCTATAATAAACATAATGGTTTTTCATATTAAGGGGGGGGGGAATCATTCTGCAAAAATATAACTTTGGTTCCCACCTGATGCTTAACTATAATGCTCTGGAGAGCAACTAGCTGGAAAATTATTAAAATGATTCGAGATAATGAAGTTAAACAAAACTTATCAAAAAATGAAAAGATATAGTTTAAATTAAAAGAACACCTCACAGAAAGCAAGAAAACCAAGGACTTCCCCCCCCTTATAACACACTTTGTGTTTCAAAAGGGATTATGACCAAATCCTGCTCCTGCAAAAATTCAGGCAATTTGTATCCATTTAATGATAGAACCAAAGTAGGTTCTTTGAAGGAAGAAATCTCTGGATAACTCCTGCTAATTTTAAGCAATACAGAAGCTTCTGAAAGGGTTTCCAAATAACAAAAGCCCTTTAAAAAAAAAAAAGCAACAATAATTTCAACTGATGATTTCTGACATTGTTTTCCATGATGATTTTGTTTTCTAACTCACAGCAGGGAATTACTATCTTAATTCTAACTTCCTAATATGCATAAAATTAGTACACTGAACCTCCTCTTAAACTCCTTTCTATTTCAGTGATGTTCTCCAAGTGATTTTTCTTTACACACACACCCAAAGTAGGATCTCAAAAACTATTTGCTTTCTTCCCACAGATAGGCAGATAAGTTCTGTTTACAAATATTTTAATTTCATATTGGATTAAAGAGGTAAAGCAGTTTTTCCTGGTCATCCTGTCAGTGCCAAATTATCCAATTAGTTATATCCTTCTACGAAGCTACATTTCTCATGCTGTTGCAATCATCTATAATATGCACAGAATAGAAAAATTTTATTCTGTCATTTCTCTCTGGTTGAAATTGGTATCTCAAGAAAGTTACTAAACCAAAACAAACGCAGGTATTAACAAACTGTAAAAGGAGCAGGGAGAAGACACCTGCAAAGGAGTAAAAAGAAAGTGTAAGACAAATGCAGGCTCTTTTTCAATGAAGGCAAGATGGGGGAGAGAGAATTTACATCTCCAGCACAAAATAAAACAGACAAGCGGAAACATAACTGGTCATAAGAAAAAAATGTTAGTTTTATCTTTAGTACCTCCTACAACTATCAGACATCTTAAAATTTTATAAAGCTTAGCATTAACTGCAGCAACCAACGTATGCAGTCAATGTAGTTTGGTTTATTTGTCCCTTTTTTGTTGCTCTATGTCCCTTCTATGCCACAGACACTGCAGTAAAGACACCAGTTTCTTTCAGACTATAAAGAGAGTTTAGGGTGAATGGTTCCAACTTAGACATTTAACTCTGTCATCTAAAGACACACTAGACAAATCCCATCTTCCAGTTATAACCACAATGAATTCTAAAACGTCACTGGACAAGCCAGTTGATAACCAAGACCATAACCTCACTGAAAAAGTTAGGTTGTCCTGTAAATGCTATGCCATGGCAGGACTACACACTCAGCTGAGATTCCAAAATGTCAGTAATTGGCTGAAATAGTTCTGAAGTAGTAGTCTTTAATCGTTTCTCTGAAAATAATACCTGATATTACAGCAGAGCTCTGGAATTCGAGCAATCTACTTCTGGAACACAAAAAAATCTCCCCATTAAACAGTGCATGAAACCCGAGAAGTTGGCAACACACACCTGAAGATTCCTACAAATGTATAACACACCCCCCCAACTATTTCAGTACTTTTCTGAAACAAGGGATGGAAAAAGAAGGAAGAATCCATGCCAAAAGGGATACTCCACCCAGCTGCCAAAAGCATTTGGACAAGAATACTTAGCATAGCTTTCATGTACCCCTGAAAAAGCAGCCCACATCTCTCAAGGTAAGACTCCTCCAAATATTCAAGGTTAACAACAAAAGGGGTAAATAAAATCTGATTGCCAGTAACAGATGATGACAAAGTATTACTGTAATCTGTCCAGTATGCATCTGATTAGTGCAATATCCTTAGCAATACAGGTTCACTGGAACTGGGAGGGTTTGATGTCAATTAAAGTGTTAAATCTTTTTGTCACATATCTGTTATGACTATTCTTTGATGGTAAGGCAGCTCTCAGAAACACTACAAAGCATTACTACCTTCATATCGGTATGAAATACTACTGAGGGGAGCTGCAAGATACTTGTGTACCCCTTAAGCTGTCATTTTTCTTTAAAACACCAGTATTTCTAAAAAGCAGGATCAAACAAAAGAAAACTGTGTAACATATCTGCCATTTGACAGTAAGAGGACAACAGAAATTCAGCAAAGGGAAGTCAAGGAAGCATAAAAGAAACAGAAAATAAGGAAACAACTTTCTGCTGCTTAAAATAGGAAAAGTCATTGGAAGTTAATAAGTTTTTATCACTCAGAGTCTAAGCCAGGCTACTGTCCTCCTTTTTTGCGTGCACTGCCAATTGCAGCAAAGAAACACTCAGGACATGAAGTGAACTGTATTCTCCATTTCTATCTGATGCACAGGTCACACCATATACACATTTATTCACTATGCTTTGTCTTCCATTTTGGTCTCTCAAGTCTTCTTAGCTTTTCTCTGCAGCTTCATTTTGTCCTTTCTCAGCAGAAACAGAAGCTCTACCATTTCTCTTCAGCACCACTTCCATTCCGAAACAAAGATCACACACCTTGGTATCACCACATTTAAGTTGTGAAGGCTTTCCATTTTTCCACATCTGAAATGAGTTTGATGCAAAAAGCAGCAGTCAGCACATAAGGCAGAGGATATATTCTAATAATCTCCTAATTCACTGTAATCTTTAATTCATGGACAGTAGGAAGACCTAGCACACAACAGAAAATAATAAAGTCTTAAGATTTGCATTGTTGAACTATCCAGCATTCCAAGCTCAGAATCTACACTTTTTACTAAACATTAATACTGCAAACTGATTCTGAAAATCCCTTTCCATAATCACCAGGTTATCAATGAGGTGCCATTCCTACCCAATGAACTTACAAAATTAAAAAGGTGCACTAACTTTAAAAATTTAGCATACTATTAGTGGTGTTCGGAAGCCTTCTTTTTAAAGAACAAAGTTGAAACTTACTTGCAGTATTAGTGATGAGGCCGTCAATACATACACATCACAATTGGTTACTTATGGTTTGGCTAACTCATTCTCTATACTTAGGACTTGACTATTTGTGCATTGCCTTATTTAAACAAAAACACACACACTGAGATTTTGGAAGTACTCAAGAAGCATTACAGATCTTTTGCACTTCTTATTAGAAGTAATTTCTGTCCTTGCAGTAATGGCCACAGCAGAGGCCTGGGAATGCCTGCAAAAGGCCACAGTTGGGATTGGAAGAGACAGAACTGAACATCTTCAGATTGCTAGAAAAGATTTCAGTGGCAAATACAAAAGCCACCACAGTAACTTCCACTCTTAGAATTTTGCGGATATCCACTAAAACAAGCTGCACTGGCCCTTTGTGCAAAATGAATATACGAAAAATATGTGCAACTGCAATAAAACGAGAACATTTTAGTACCTTCTGCAGATGCCCCTTCTCTTTCCATTCTTCTGTTCTGCTGCCATCAGCTTGCTTTGCCAATCTCGCCTTGGATTCTAGCAATGTTTCCTTCTATTCTTCTGGCTCCTCCTCATGCTCGCAAACGCCTTTTTGAAAGTATTTATAACCACAAGTGGATCACATTGTTTCACCAAAATCTAGCTCCTCGGAAAAGCGGAATCCAATGCAGGTGACACCAGATGTAAAGTTTATTTTCCTAGCCCTTGGATACAATGCATCTTCAGCTATTACAGGGCATGGTATATCACATGCTGCATATTATTCAGGGCACAATACAAGAATCCTCTGATACATGGTGGTCCACAAGTGTATGCTTCTGACTGCAGAGATGAAGTCCACAGGACTGTTTTGTGCTCAGCACTGAACCCTTCCCCCTGCCTCAAGTGGGCTTCACTGGTCTAGTTTCCAACTAAAGCTTTACCTGCAGCAGATATTGTTGGTCACGACTGAACTCTTACGCTATGTTAAGAACCACTTTTACGAGAATAAGCTGGACATTTTAGCTTAATATAAATTTCCTATACCTACCACAAGTAATATGCTATCTACCAAGAGGAAGCCTAGGGGAGTGGGAATGGAATGATCATTTGTGTGTCTCCACGACAGAGGTGGAAAACACCTAATTCAGGCCAATACCTGTCGTATTAAAAGAGAACACTTCTTCTGCACTTCATTCATTCAAAGATAGGAGACGGACATAGCAATGGATTAGGCAGTGGGTTTTATACCCTTTTCTGCCACTGACCTCCTAGATGAATTTGGTGTAACTGCTTTATACCCCTTATTCAGTCTCCCCCAGCTGTAAAACAAGGATTGTGGTTTCTCTTCAAACCACCTTGATATCTATGGATTGGAAGTGCTGTGTAACGGCTAAACGGTTTCCATTTTTCAAGTCGTCATTCCAGGTCTCCTACCAGCAGGTATGTAACATCTATAGTAATGTATATACATGAGGACGCCAATGTTTAAAAGGTGCCATGAAGTGGGGTGGGAGGTTCCCCTCTAATTTGAGGAGTGGGTGAATCAGAAAGGGGGAAGAGAAATAAAGATGGTTAGTTATTTCTCCCTTAACTTCAGCTCACATCTATTTAGAGTACTACTAAAAAACACGCAAACCTTTCTGTGACTAAGCACACTACGCTTTCTTCCATATTCATCAACGTGTCTCAAACGAGACATCTTTTATCCATAGCGAAGATATAAACCAGTGAATTGATTAAAAATATCTAGAATCAGAAACTCAGCAGAACTTCATACAGCCAGACACGTCTTATCATGCTGTCCTTTTTCAAAGGAGCTATAGTCAAAGAAAATAGACTCCTAAGCTTACGATAGACTCTTGAAAGTAAAAGCACAAAATTTCAGTAAAATTCATCACCGCAGTGTAAGAAACAAGCTTATGTTTAATGTAAAGAAATTTGCCTGCTTGGCCCCAGGTCTATTTGATATCCTGCAACAGCCTGTAGTCGTCAGTTCGCATTGCAAAAAAAATGCTAGAGTTGGTCTTCCAAAATTATTATGAATAGCATAAAATAAAGCTTTTATTTGATAACGGGAAGGTTCATGATATACGCATAGCACGGTTATCCGCTGAGTATTTCCATATTTTCAAGCCACTGCAGTAAGACTGCACATTACACTAAATGCCCTAAAATATGACTAAGGGACAATCCCACAGTAAAAATGAAATAGTTGTCTTTGACAGCAACAAACCAGAGTTTAACATTGCGATCATACAGTTGACATTAATTCCCAAATTAGTTAACGTTTTCTCACCTCAGCCTAAACGATGAGTTGATCTTTGGTCGTAAGCCACCATTTTCAAACAGTTGTATATGTTGCTGATTATTTGCATGGACCTTCCAACTTATACATACTGGGTTCCTCACAGAATGAGGGCTATCCTTTTGTTCTTGAAGCCCTTCATCCTCTATTTCACTGGATCCATCTACCACTGCTTGGAGAAACTTCTTGAGCCTGGTAAGTACATTCAACCTCCACTGCTGAGAAGTTACTCTGCGATTTGGGTTAACAGAGAGCATCCAGGAAAGTTTCTCTCTGCTTTTCAGTCTTTTTGACAGTTGCTGGTGAGAAATAAGCTCTACAAAATTCTTCAACAATATACTGCTGCGGTCTGTGAGAAGAGCTGGGTATGCTTCCAGTAAAACGTCCAAGACTTTCAATGAATCTTCCTGAATCCCCTCACTGATATGAGTCATGGCACTGGAGAGATGGGCACTTACCAAAGGAAAAAATGGAGCAATCTGTTCCGCTCTTATTTTTGAAGCCAAGAATTGCAGCAGGTGAACAGCTGCTCCTCTGACACCAGAATCTTTGTCTGTAAACACAGCTGCCACCTCACTTATTATATTCGAAAGGTGCGCATCAATTACAAATGGATACTGAGACAGGAGATCTTTGAGCCCAAGAAGTGCATTATGCTTAACCCCAGGACTATAGTGATGCATCTGTGAAAGCAGATCCTAAAAGGAAAGAAACATATATACTTACTATCGTTATTACTTTAAGCTCTTTAAACTTCCCCACCTATTTTCAGCACATTTTTTCTTAAATGCTCAAAAATACAGAATCTATTCTCATGATGTACTGCTGTTGGTAGCAGCATAATATGTTCAGAACAAATATAATATTAGTTTAAAGCATAACAATGAACAAATCATCAAAATTCAATGACAGGAAAAACAAGATACCATGACTCGTCCTTCAAATAATTAGATAATCCTCATTCTTAAGTTTATGCACAACCCTACTGACTTAACAGAGGGATGACCAAAAATAAGTCCTCTCACACTTGCTCTCAAAAGTAGAACTACGCAATCTCAGTCTCAACAGCTTTCTTCAGTTTAAGCAGACAGCTGCAAGAGATAGAAGATGACGCAAAGGAAGGAAAGCAGAACCACCACCCAAAGAAATACAAAATTTTTTAAAAACAGCATCTCAGGAAGTCTACTTTTTAAAACCCTGTCCTTAAGTTATGATCCAAGACTTTCAAAAACCGAATGTTAATCCTAGATACTTAAATCAGTGTGCAACTTTAGTTTTTGCACTGCTGAAAACCTTTCCCTTGGGTTATATGCTGGTCCAGCAATTTATTAAATTCATGGGTCAGCTTACTGTCAAGGACAAAGAGGCTGTATTCAAGATATTCTGCCAGGGTTTCAGTTGGTTTTTTGGGTTGTGTTTTTTTTTTTTTTAATAATTTTTTTCTCTAAATTCTAGTAAACATAGTAAACCTAGATAAATGATAAGTAATTTTCCATCATTTCAGAATGTAATGTCACAGTATACCTTTATGTTAAGTTTTCTATTTTGCGTAGGAAGCACTCCATCTTCTTTAAGCTGCTCAGGAATTTGTATGGCCTTTGTTTTGAAGGTAGTATCAGTTGCATTCTCTAGTTTAGGCTTTTTTTTCCCAACTTTTAATTTCACTTTCTGGAAATCTTCTTGATGTTTCCTTTTTTTAGTCATTCTGATTCTCTGCAAAAAGATAGTCAGAATTTTAATTTCATTAAATACACTGCAAACAAATATTTTTTCCACCAAAGAGCAACGACTTCCTAACAAAGGCTACTGTTTTTATGCTTTTTCCTATGCATAAACTAGTGTCTGCTCCTGAGACAAGATGCTAGGCTAAACAGACACGCAGACTGATACAGTACAGCTGTTCTTCTAGTGTCCAGAAAACATCCTGCTGCTCCTTTGGTTGTCTTCGCTCTGAGAACTACTTCATTGAAAAGATCACTTGAGTATCTGCATCTTCCACTGCTTTGTCAGATTAAGTCGCTGGTTTTGTTTTGTTTTAAAAAGTTCCTGCCAATAAAGCAACTTTTTACATACTTGACCCTTGTCAAGCCAAAAGAGCTCAGTGAACTCTTTCATTTAATTTGTACATTGTTTACCAACTCATTCATTAATAGCGTACAGTCTGCACAGGTAAAATCATGGGTTTAATCAGGCCTTCACTGGTAACAGCAGCATACAAGAATCTAAGAAAACTTCCACTACACACTGAAAAGTCCAGTCTGTGCATTTAAAAATGATAACTAGAAAGAATGAGGGGAAAAAATGAGGTTAAATGGGCACATATAAAGTAAAAAGAGACTGAAAAACTAAGCTACATTTAATAAGGCATAAGAAATAAGGTAGCGTGAGTAGCTATACTTAGAACTAAGTCATACAGACATAAAATAACCAAAACAAAACAAACCCCACACTTCAGTTTCTGAATGACCGTTTGGCTTTGATATAGCTGTACTGATAAAAGTACTCTTAAATCAGATAACAAAAAAAAAAAAACAAAACCAACCCCCCACCCCCCAAAAAACCCCAAACCCAACAAACACTACACCACAGGTTCCTTTATTTTATCTTCCTTCCCTCGATCTCCGTACTTCTAAATTTATTCATAACAAAACTCCAGAAGCTGATGTCACAACACTCAGCATCACGTACAAATTGCACCTAGATTTCTGTTAATTAAGACCATGAATCCATGGTCTGATGACTCCTAGAAGCGGTTGTAGAAATTACAATTTGAAAGGGGGAAGGGGGAGACAAGCGCAAAGCCATTATGATGTTGAGGTTTAACACCTCACAAGTTTCTAATGATAACAGGTTAATTTATAGAGCTGGAAATCTGAATGCTTCCAGATCTCACTGTACGCAGTATAAAGTCCATGCTGTCAGGCACAAACTTTTTGTTTCTTCTCTCTTTCAAACTCCTCTTTGGGTAACTAGGTTTTGCACATTCTTAATATCGGAACTATACAAAAAAGTTGCGAACGCAACATTCAAATTTTAAAGACCAAACTAACGAAAAAAAGAAAAAAAGCAATGCAGCTGACTAAACCCAGAAATTTCTAAATAAAATATCCAAACAATAATTCTTTTATGGTGGATATGATCATCATTGACCCTAGAAAATAGGATTCTACAGCCGATTTTCCCAATGGACTTCAAACTGTAAATTTGTGCTGTATCACAGTATTGCATATACACATCATCGGGATAATCATTAAGGAATGTTTTAAATCCAATGGTCATTTTCTATTCTTTTAAAACAACTCAAACAACTGGTTATACAAACATTTGACTAGAACTTAATTTCTGCTTTTCACACGCTAGCTTAAAACAGCTATCTGCAAGACCGCTTTAACTGAAGTGTAAGTTTAGTGTAAGTAACCTATCAACTGAAAAGGCTTTAAAAAAACCTGGGGTTTGGTCCCGAAATAAAAAGGTCCTTTAAGTGTCCAAATATAACATCTATGGTTTTATAAGCTTCTGATTTTTACCACATGCATCTTTGAGGAAAGAATTACAACAAGATTTTCACTACTCCATTTCAAGACGTACAGAAATGGCTAGAAGCTTTTGACACGAACGTTATTTCCACTTACAAAGCTTGCTTTAACGGAGATATTTAAGAAGCCTCACTCTATGAGGTGAAACGGTTTGGCTTGCAATTAGCATTAAAAACTTTACAATACAGGCACGCACGCACCTGAACAAAGTCAATTAAGTTCTTTTAAAGGAGGCAGCTTATAAAATATACTTTCTCCTACTAAAGCAAAGCAGCACAGTCAACCTTGCACTGGATATTTTGGAAATAATTTACTGGAAATCCAAACATATCCATTCCCAATTCGTATGTACCACGCTAAACCAGAGATAAAGCGGTTACAAGACCAAAGCCATGAAAACACCACAGCGTCTACGTAATAAGACATTAAGCAAAACTGTATACAGCTCGCGAAGTTATGTAAATATTTTAATGAAACTTCTTGCCGAAACAGCCGTTTGCCTTTTGACTTCAACCGTATTTTCAGCTGGCCCTCCTCCAACAGGACCGAGCTAAGTGCACCTCACAGTTTCTGCGCTAATAGAGTTTTACAGTCCAAAACGTTAAAATAACCTCCAATCAATACCAACTCCCTTTAACACGAGGCCCCGCGCGGCACCTCTCAGAGGGTACTTCAAGCGCCGCTCAGCCATCCCCGCATCAGGCTTAGGGAGACAGAGCGGAACCAAAAGAAGCGACTGCTTCACCCGTACCTGACTGCCTCGCGGGTTTGGGGCGGTATCCCCGGGGAGTCTCGCTACCAGCACACTTACGAGCTCACGCCATCGGGAAAATCCTGGGAAAGCAGAAGGCAAGGACGGCGCCCTAGCTCCTCTCATCCGATGAAGAGTTCCACCGGGGCGAGCTCTCGCCCGGCGAAGGGCAGTACTTACTCGCCATTAACTTTCTGAGGCTCCCGCGCTGGGCAGCGTGTCCCCC